CACACACACACACTACACACACACACACATACACACACACACACACAACATATATATATATATATATATAACAATGTAAAGTGCACACTATCGTAATTAATGCCACAATCTTCAGAAACAAAGTACATTCCTACATCATATGTACTTCCACATGTGCCCGGACATTGGGGAAGTGCATGTCCACTATTTTATTGTCGATTGTAATTTGTGTGTGAAAGCTTGTCGCCTAAATGAAATGAAATAGTGTGCGAGGTATGCAAAAGGATCGAATTTACATTAAATTCCAACTCGCGACTTTTATTCTGGCTTTATAATTCCTATCAATAAATAGAGACGATGTTTGTCTCTAAATTAATTGTTTACTAATAAGATTTGATATACATACTATGTACAAAATTGCACCACGATGCTTCATCTTCTCGCAATTACCTCTTATATTCTTCATTTCTTAATTAAAATTCATTTTGTTTGGTCACTCCTTATTTAAAATTAATATTACTTAGCCACTCCTTGGTTAATATTAATTTGATTGGTCAAAGATTCGCGTATTCTTTGCCATTTATCCTCACATTCTCCAGACCGTGACCGTGACTAGTGGATGAACGTGCTATTTGTTAATCTTTCACTCCATTTCACTTCCTTTCTCCCGTCTTCGATAAGCTGCAGCCTCGTTCACGTACGGCGTATATCACACTTGTACTTTGAGAGTATGGCTATGACTTCTATCTACCGCTTGCGAGCCCCATCAACCCGTACACTCACGCCAGAAAAGTAGCCAAATTGTGTATCACTGTCTACGCACTCGGGTATTCTTTGCGCTCCCTCCATCGTTTACCGGATGCCTATGTTATACTTGTGTATGCTTCATGTCGACTGTTTGTCGGATGTTTAAGTTATTGGGGGGATGAGTTAGAGCCTATGCTCCACCTTTCAGGAACATGGCATACGGCTATAATTGCGATGTCCCATACTCCGCTCTGCTGTTAAAATCACATCTTCCTTTTCACTACCTCTGTTCTTTGCCTCAGCTGCTTACAACTATCGTCTATCTCTGTTGTTTCACCACTCACTTGTCGTCCACGCCGGAACTTGCTTATATCCCACCATCACCTTATTCAAATATATACTCCTCTATGTACTGATTTACTTGGCAACAACGGCCCGCCCTATATATCAATACACCACTCTCCAGATGGCATCCGTAATCGGCAAAGGTGTTTGAGCTGAGGCCACCCTTAAACATTATGCGCCCTCAGTCAGGGTTTCAGGGTTTAGGATGTAGGATTTGGGAGACTCTAAAATAGGTCCACATGTGTCCATATATTCAATGGTATCGTTCCTAACCCCCATTAGCACCGCTCTGCCTTGCAAGAAGAGTGCGGCTTGTTCTCTGCCCTCACGTCACACGTGTTCGTTCGACCATACATCACCAAATCGACGTTCACGCCATATCGTCCCACAGAGCAGAATCTGTTACATAATTTACCCCGTCTGAATCATCCAGAAGATGGAAGTCTGTCACCAGATCCCCTTCTCCATCTAGATTGCGCTGGACCTGTTGAAACTGTTCCTTGAACGATGTCACCCCCCGGCCGAAGCCGTCCTCTCGGTTAAAGTCCACTTCACTCGCACCGCCCCCGTCACCCAAGTCCACATTCTCATACTGCGTAGAGCCTGCGCTATCGCTCGGAAGTTGCATACCAAGAGGGTACAGCGGTGAGCGCTGCTGGTTCAGTTGCGGTTGCCACTCTAACGATACATCATTCAGAGCCATCTCCGCTGTCATATTTGTGATAGTCGAGGACGACATAGTCCGGCCCGTCCTCTGACCGCGGAAAGTGGTTGGATTGTCCACACCTGACAGACTATTAATAGAACTGCTCTCCTCGACTCCTGATTGGTCCGTGGGCTCCACATTCTTTGATTCGTTATCCACTGCGATCGTAACCGCAGAATCCGTAGATGCTTGTGTGAGCGCTGTTAGTTGATTTGCATTCACATCTGCACCTGTGCCTTTATTCGTCTTCGCCCCACTTCCGGTTGTATCGCTGGTTAACACACCATACGCACTTGTGCCCAAGGACTGGTAGGTATACCCACACACGGAATCCGCATTCTGCTGGAGACCTTGTCTGGTCGCCCTGGTAACTCGCATGCCACCCGCGTGTGCTGGGGTAGACTCATGCGTGCGCGCAAGTGCAGACCCAACCGATCCCATACGTGTACGGACATTACCCTTCACCACGCCATATGCCATACCCCCAGACACACTAGAGCGGCGATGGGCCGACATGTCGATTGGCCAGGGTGAGGCCGTGCGTGGTGTCGGTGTATTCGCCCGCGATGGCTGTGCCACGTGGTATGGTGTTGAATCTCGCAGAGTTCCGGGATCCTCACTGTCAATGTACAACTGATCGCCCATGTCAAGGTTTACACCTAGGTCCAAACGGTCCCGATCCGAAAGAAAGGACAGAGCAGAGTCTGTGGCCGGTTCGTACACCAGTTCTGAGCTTAGTGCAAGCCCGAGCGTGGGCAAAAACAAAGCGCTGGGAGTGGATGTATTGGTTGGCTCCAGGGCCGGCATACTCTGCGTGTGAATGCTCGAGTACCCCTGTACGAGCGGTGACTTTGTGTGTGGTGTGGGTTTGGCTGCTAAAGTACGCGGCGACGATCCCAACTCGACATCGCACGACTGCTTTAGGGTCACAGGATCAGTTGCCGAATCAGTTGCTTTTAGACCGTCCAGCATGTCCTGGGCCATGCCCGCGTTCAGCTCACCCGTCGGGGGCAACTCCGGTACGTTGCCGCGGTCAAGCTTCATTATGAGGCCAAGATCCAAATCATCGAGTGCCATGTCGATTCCAAGGTTCAGATCTAAGCCCATTTCAAGCCCACCATTGTCGAATAAAAGACCCTGGTCAAGGATTCCTGCGCCATTAAATAGCAAATCTTGGTTTCGCGCGGCATTCCCCGATCCGGAGCTTTCAGCACCCGGACTTTCCATACCTAAAAGTAGGCTCCATTCCGAGACGCTCGACGAGGTTCGAAGACCCATGCTGCTTCCATCGGTAGCAAAGTAACTCGCACTCTCAGCAGAGGCACCTAAATTGGCACCGCTTGTATTGTTGATCTTATCGTCCACCCTGTGCTTCTTGTCACGGCCTAATTGCGCCTCGCCCCCACTCTGCGCGGGTGTCTGTGCGCGTACATGGGGGTTGTCGTCAACACCTGTGGGTGTACTAATAGTCCGCATCACCCCCATATCGCCCATTTTGCGCTTCGCCTTATTTGGTGTCCCGCTTCGCCCACTGCTATTTCTAGCCACGGCAGATGCCGATTTTCTTCTCGCAACACACCCACTCGATTTGACTTTCTGGAATGAGCTTTTTGTTGCTGTTGCTTTTGTGGTTGCCAAGCCCGAACTCAGTCCTCCGTGTGCATTCAAACCCGTTCCAGTAACCACACTTGCGTCGATGTCCATGCCTGTACTGGCATGGTTCTGTGCCCTAGAGGCGGTAGAAATAGCAGCCGCAGCCGGGGTACTAGGGTGGTCCACATGATTGGGCGCTGGAGTGGGAGTGTGTGCGCTCGCGGCACTAGTCGCATTCGACAGCGGAGAGCAACTGTTCATCGCACTCGTGTAGCTCTTAAGATGGCCTGTGGCATCCGGAACGTTGCTAGGATTGCGTGGGCTGTTGTGTGTGCTGTTAGTTTGTTTCAGATTCGGTATACCGGGTGCAGACGACACACGATACAGCGTCCGGTTGCCCCTCCGATGCCCAATACCTCCACTAACGTGCGGTTGCGGTTGCGAGGTCAACGCAGGGTACTCCGTTGCTATGGCCACTGGAGTCCTGCTGTGGAACCGCGAACCGGGCGGTGGCCCATATATCCCCAACCCCCCGGTCAAACCAGTGCTTGGAGCAGGGTATTGGGCGAGCACGCTCGGGACATACGACATACTACTGGACCGAGGATAGGTCTGAGACGGTGTGTGGTTGTGTGTATGTGTATGCGGGTGTCTGTGTGGGTGCATGGGGGCCTGGGTGTATTGGTGCGGTGTATGCGCACGCGGTCGCTCATGCCCACCCGTCTTCGCACCGAGCCTCCCCCCAGCCAACCCACTCTGTAAGTCGGCAGTACCCAAAGGATCGTTCCAAGTGAGGCTTGAGCTGCGCTTGTACTTGTAGGAGACACCGTGATGCACCCCGTTGATAGAGACGGCGTACGGAGAGTTTGTCTTCTTATTCGACGGGCTGTAATTGCTCGTGCTCGAGTTGCGGCGCACTCGGTGCATCGCTTTGGACCCGCTTTCCTCGTAAATAGTCGCGGACGTTGCCAAGGCAACCTCCCCGTCTGTCATGGTGCGCGTGCGGGTGTAACCCCTTGCCTGTGTGTGTGCGTGCGCATGTATATTCGCCTGAGCCTGGGCGTTTGCCTGGGCCTTTGCATACGCGTGTCCGTTCCGTTCAACATGTGTAGCAAACACAGACGCCGGTCTAATCCCCGGCAGGCCGCCATTCCCCTCTGCCCCCGCCATAGACCCTCTAACAGACCCATTACCTCCCCCATTCCCATATCCGTGTATAGTCCCGCTCCGGACTTCCATGCACGAGTGCGAGCGTGCAGGCACAGACCTTGCAGTGTGCGATGAGGTGCCTGTGCTCATATTCAGACGTTCGCGGTGGCTATCGAGTTGCAGGTGCACATCGTACATCTTCTGTGCTGATTCGCGCACGGTGGTTGCTAAGGGGCGTTTGGCATTGTCGGCCTGCATGCATTCGATCGCCACCGTTCGCAGCTGTGGGAGATGGAGTGCAAAGTACATGTGGAGAGACCAGATGAGACGATAGATGTCGATTGATTGAATTTAGTCAACAGATAGGTTATTGTAAATATACATATACGCAGCTAGACTTGTGAGGTGTCCATAGATGAATTATAGTAAAATTAGGATCGACGGATTGTCTGTATTACTACATAAGAGGAGCCGAATGAGTTGAAAGTACATACTCATGAATAAACCAAAACTAGACCGCCATTGTCATGCGGTAAGAGGAGCACGACAGGCTGCAACGAAATATAGCTGAACGGGGAGACACACACACCACGGGTCATCGTGCAGGAGAAATCAACCTCCACCCCTCCCCGGGGGGTCCCCATCGCAAATACCCATATTTCCTATATTTACACACACACACACGCACACACACACACATATATATATATCTATACACACATACATATATATATATGTATAATGTTTACATACGTGAGAGGTGTAGGATTGGCTAAGCGGAGGATACTCACAAGTTTTGATCCGCTCACAGAGCAGCACAAGACTCATCTTTTCAGCGTAGAACGGCGACTTCAGTGCTGTGCCGTGTGTAATAAAAGAAACATGCGATGAATATGGGCGCCCGAGCATACATAGCCCATCGGGCCAAGACAACACAGAGCGGATGTACGAAAAAAATAGGATGGATTGAGTGCTGGAGATTCAGCCGCTAACTGTGAAAGATAAGCTCAAAGCTAAAGACCAGAAGCAGAGACGAGACCACAAAGAACACACTTGGTCAATGGTAGTCTATGGATATACATACCCGCCATCTCGTACAGCAAACAGCCCAGAGACCAGATGTCGGAGGACAGGTCATAATCGGCCCCTTTAATCCGCTCAGGTGCCATGTAATAGGGGGTTCCCACTGCAGACGAAACAATGTCATAGTGCACATTGAGTACATTTTATTGAAGTACGATATAGGTGATGGTAGGGTCTGTGTGTGTACTGGATTACAACTTAGTAGGCGGCGAAGGTTTAGGGGGTTGGGGTATCGGTAGGGTTTCAAGGTTTGGTAGGGTTTGTTGCATAGTGTGAGAGATACACTCATACTTGCACCAGTGTCAAACCGCTGCGTGGCAACAAACGATACCATGTTCGTGGGGATGTGTATGCATACGTATCGAGCATTCACGATATTTGTACAACCTACCCCCCCCCCCTTTGTTCAGAGGATGCCTGAACTATAAACGTATATATGTGATTTCTACAAAAGCCTGATACTGAAAATAGACGTACGTGTCTGTGCGTCGTAGCGTGCTGGTGTAACTAAACTTAATAGTAAAGCCAAACTATCCGCTTCATGAGCTATCAGAACCGGCTTATACAACTCCATATACGACATTACGGAAACACAAACGTATTCGTGTGGACATGCATGCAATCCTATTTTACACTATAGACACTGTTCCGTATTACACAAGCACATCCTAGGCATCTCGCATAGATAACACACCCATGGACGATGCCAAGAAATCATCCTTCATGACCCGGCCCAGACCCAGGTCACCTAGCTTAACGTTCCCAGTCTTGGTGATAAAAACGTTGGCGGGCTTTACGTCTGTACAGTGAAGTGGAATGTAATGTGAGACGATACCGTTAGGGGATACGTTTAGACACCCACGACGATGCGAAAATTCGGCACTTTGGCGGCTGGCAATCGAGAACGAGGTAAATCATACAGAACACAATGTTTCTTTAAGGGTGATCCAGTATGTTGGTACCTTATTCGTATAGGCAGAGTTGAGGGCCGATACGAAATAGAGAATATGTATTTGCCTCTCACATCATACACGATTGAATATTTTTTTATCACTCCAGCCTACCACATATATGCATGCGGATATTAAATGTACGGACGTAAAAGATACTTGAGATAACTACGTGGTTAGCAACAGCAGAGACCACAGATGCATCCATCTATAGATATCAAATACATGTGCATAGCCTAATGACTATAGAATGCATACAAGTACATCTCGTATGTATATGCCTAACAAACGGAGGTATACATTTACATATACAGGTTCATAGTTCAACGACTACATAGAATGTATACAAGTATATATCATATGTATATGCCTGTAAAAACGGAGAGGTGTATATCTTTTCAGATCAAGCCGTCATGTATGCATGTAGGTTCAATCAAGTATAGTTCTTTTCCGCTATTCTTAAATAAGTGGTATCACATGTGCTATATACAGCACAGGTATTCTCAGCAACATACACATACATAATACATACATACATACCCTTTTGTATACATATATACCTATGTGGATCACAGAGTACACATACGTACCTCTGAATACACACATACAGATACACAGGTAAACGCATACAAGTACACGGGTAAACGCATACAGGTACACGGTAAACGCATACAGGTACACAGGTAAACGCATTCATACCTCTGTGGATAATCTTCTTGGAATGCATATATTCGATTCCCTTGCATATTTGCAGGAAGTACTTCCACAGAACGAGCTCGGGTATCGTCCGTTGAGTGGTTTTGAAGTGGTTGATCATTCTGTAGTAAAGTCAGCGAGAACGAAAAGTGTGAGTTTTACATTGGGGGGTTTAAACCAGACTGCACCGGTGTTTCTGAGCGCGTGTTTAATTTTGGGACCTAATGACGTGATACCAGCGACTATTTGAATACTACCCAATGAAAACAAAGATCGAGACTATAAGCATTCGGCAAGAGTCTGTTACGGTGAAGTCGGGATGGCACGGAATATCATCAGTTTCAATTTCAGATGGGATGCTCAGTGGGCCAATACTTTATATCATCAGGCGATGCTAATAGATGTACTATGAATAATAACGGCAAACAATGTACGCGCACAACAGTAAGGGGTTTAAACACCTCGACAGCTGAAACACATGTTCACTACACACGAATCCAAAAATAAAAAGTATATATCAAGATACTGACACATGGGGAGACAGATATAAGGACCTGCCAACGCACGGATAGCCTCCAATATTGATATCTGATAGGCAGACACCAACTGCAGGTCCATCCACTAGGCCAGCAGCTAAATATAGATCGAGGCCCAGACGCATGGGATATAAGGACAGCACGAAGAAACAGCCAACACACAGATAGTCTCTGATATGATATAGCTGGTACGCGGACATTAAACTATACCGTCGTAAATCGCCGGCTCCGGCGAACTCCAGAACGATGTACAGCGACATATCCACCATAAAGGTGCCGTAATAGCGGATGATGTGCTCGTGACTTAGGTCCTGTACCGCAGATGTAAAAGGCAGGTGTATACAGTATATCTCAGTATAATATAGCGTCTAAGGGGGAGTGAGGCAAGGTGGTTGGGCAGGAGGCACGGATTATACGAGATGACCAGATATAGCCGTAAAACTAGACATGTACGTAGTATAGGGCTATATATGTGACTAGAAATAGGTATATATATCAAATGCATACCGTACAGATAGTAAGTATACTGAGAATATATACACATACACATATGGTTGACTTTTCATGTATATATGAATTCGACACACGCACGCACGCGCGCACACACAACCATATAAATCAATATAATATAATATATAAAAACATACACACCATATACACATACCAGTGTATACCTCTGCGCAACATTTGTACGTACCCGTAGCAAAAAGATCTCCTTGATAACGTCTTGCCGGGTAGATATATCATCGACATCCTTCATACTAATCTTTTTGAGCGCAACAAGTTTCCCCGTGATTGTATTCGTTGCCTGGAACACTTCGCTGAACTGACCCGAACCCAGCCGTCTATAAATAAACCGAGATATTTGGAATGTGGCATTTCAGCATCAGAATCCATTTAACGTTCCGACTATATATTGCGTTGTCCCAAAACCTAAAAACACCGTTTTCTAGGTTGCGGGTGGTAGGGTCTCCTTCGGAAGGGTGCATTGCTTTCAAACCCAACACGTGTCCAGAAAAAGCGGTTATATCGCACCATGGTGTATATCCGAAACTCAAACGCAATGGAAGCAGTATCACGATAAAGCTGCTGATATTGCTCAGTTCTACACCGGCGGATTGCACTTTGGCACGTGGATTACAGCCGCCTGGATATGTTCGTATCCTAGGTACAGGGGATGTCAGGTCAATATCGGCCCCCGAGACAGAAGAGCATCAGAATATCCCGCAACGATCATAGTTTACGACTTTAAACTAAACATGGAATCAAGACATGAGTCGCGACCGTCGCCACTTCCAATCCAGTAGCGAACACACTGTGACAAACTTGAAAATGCAATCTAAAAAAAGGTTTCTCATAATAGGCAAAAACTCCAATAACAGATTTCTATACCTCCGTGCTGCATAGTGAACTATGAAAGCACTGACGTCTACACCTCCAGAATAGTGGCCAAGATTATATACCAATGTTAATTGATCAAATACACTCGAACGATACACACAAACATACGGAAGCTTCTTCTAATGACTCCGTAACACTGTCGACATACTCTGGGTTAAAAAGGATGCACGCAGGAGCGCAAACTATTGGATACACATCTTCTTGGAATACTGACATTTACTGCGCATAATGTACCATAGTATCCGCGCACATGGGAAGTTTCTAGTTCACGCACGCGCACATGGTCTTCATAAACTAGCGGGACTGCAACACACACAACAAGGTCCTCTATAGCCATAAATATCACTCCATACACCCACAATCAGTACTCGTAACAATCAACATAGAAGCACATACGCGTCCACGTGGAAGTTATCCACGCTCTCATATACGCCGCCCATCTGCAGTGCCGAAAGTTGTGTCTGCAACCCCTGTACTTCCTCACTCTCTCCAGGTTCAGCAGCCGTTACTTCGGGTGGGCCGGGCGCCTCAGCGTTGTCAAACCCTGTTTGTCCGATAAAGTCTGCGTCCCCCGCCTTCCTTTGTACCCACTCAGGAGAGCCGAAGCCGGGCAGACTGCCGATGGGGGTCTCCTCCGGTGTTTGCTGTGGTATGGCGCCCTGTGTATTTAATTGGCTGAACGGGCTGTGCATGTCGAGGTCTGGGGTGGTGCTGAGCATCGAATCCTGGATGCCTGTGACGGTGACATCGTCCTCTAAAGCAGGGTCCATCAAGGCCAGCTCGAGCGGAGAGTTCAGGAACGACGCCGATAGATTGAACATGAAATCCTCGCTCCACGTTAACTGTCCAGTACCAGAACTTGTATGTGTACCGAATCGTATCCCATCCTCACTATCTCCCCCAGTCGACGCCTCACTCCGCCTTGATACCATGTTTATATTGTCCACACTGCCGTATACATGGCCATTGGCATGACATGCCCCGGAGTTTGAGCGTGGTTTGTGCCAGTCTGTGTACCTGGGGTCTTCTTCTTCCCCTTCCTTCTGCACAGGAAACTCGGCAAGTGTAGCTAAGGGACCGGCCGCGATGCCTTCACTCACACTTACACTATTCAAACTGTGTGGGTGGGACACATTCCGTCTAATACGCGACCCAGACAATGAATCTGTAGAATGTCCGAACGGCCTCATCCTTTCGAGGTTGAGATTTATATTCAAATTTGCGCTGCTGTGTGCATCTGATTTCGGCTGTGCGCGTGCATATGGACCCGGCACTATATGTTGACCGCCCAAGGCAGTACAGGACTCTGTGCGATTGATTGTTTCTGAAGTCGATTCCCTCAACGAAATAGACCTGCTTGTAGCCACATCTTTACCCGTGCGCGTACTGATCTGTCGACTTATAGTGCCTGTAGTGCCGTGTCTGCTATCATACATATCAGCAACCCGCTGGGCGCGTGTGTTTATCATATTTATCTCCACTCCATTATTTTCACCAGGCGCTTGTTGTGCCATGTCTGCGTTAATATTAATTTGACTCGGCGCGCTATCCTTATTTCTATCTAATGTAGCATTCTGGGCGTTTTGTACACTCAATGCTTCCTCTGCATTGTATTGTGCATGTGAGTACACTTCATCTTGTGTGCTTAACCGGGTGTTTGCTTTTCCACTAGTGTATGTGACTGCATTTAACTTCAGCGAGAGTGGGCTCTGGCGTGTTGGCAATGGCTGTCTGTCGGATGTGCCCCTCTTCTGGCCTGACATGACACTCGCCAAGACTATATTTGCTATATATGAATATTTTTTGAACACTAACCTATAATTGGTGTTGGTTATTATTCGTTACGCTGTGTATTTGGTGTAGCGCGAGATGGTTTATATAAGCACTGCATATGTAGTAAATCGTGATCGTGCAGAAAAAGATCTCGGCGGAACCATAGGTTGATCCCAACAGAAGTATTCTCAAAGGCCTCCTCTATGCACAGCGTCTCCTTGCTAATGATTTATGTCATATGCAATGACTTTTGTCAGTTATCACGACCATCGTTATAGCTAAGAAGTGAATCTGTTAATATAGAGATATAGACACCTCTCCCGATTCCCAACCGCTGCTTTAGAGGGCTTTAGACACTTCCTCTTGCGATCGCCGGATTAATAGTCACACATAAAGTATATTTACATATACATACAATCTCGGTTATTTTGTGTTTACATACACAAATATTATAAAATAGCAAAGCAGAGGATCAGTATGGGGGGTCAAGAGACCTGATCTAGGGCTTTTTCTTCTTCACAATCGCATTTTATATACACATTTACATTTTTTTTTAAATAAATACCTCCGCAAAGTCTGCATAATCTAATATTTACTGTGGCATAGATTTCAAAATTCTATTCATGACAAAATAGCAAAATGCCCTAAACTTCGGAACCCAAATTTAGACTTTTGGACCGCTATATATAATTTAGAGTTCACAGTGACAGACTGACAGTGTGACAAGTGACAACCAGGGTCCCAGACTCAGAGTCCCAGACCCAGTATTTAGCACAACATGTCTTTTTTTATTAATTTTGGGAAATAGAGCCAAAGACAAAGTGTCCACCAGTGCCTTTTGTTTATATATTTCTATTGGTGCCATGTTTGTTTTTAAAAAAAGGAAAAAAAAGTCCTTTCCCGGCTTTCTGATGGAAAAAGCCTGTACATTGGCATTTTAGTTTTTTTTCTTTTTTCGCCTGGAATTCGTGTAAATATTGCAAATGTGGAAACCGAAATATGCCATATTCGTGTTTTATATTATTATTGTGTGTGATATTACAAATAGAATGATAATTTATAGAAGTCCCGGAACTCGGAGCCCAAAATCCCAATGTTTACTAGATGTCCAAAATAAAATAGCGTCTTCCCGGTATAATTTGATTTGGACATCTAGAAGTCCGTTCGGCTATTGTCTAAAAAATATCGTGTGCACATGTGACGAAGCCCTACGATTTGTCCTCAGGTCTCACTCCTCAGTGTCCTATGACTCCTTCGTGCACACTTTTAATTTTTTTAATTTAATACACACGCTCTCTCGCCGGTGTGTGTGTGGGAACTGTGGTGTGGAGGGTGGACAATGAGGTCACTATTATTATTCTTTCTATAAAAAAAAGACAAACTCTTTGGTATCAAACTGTACAATTTCCAAATAAAAACATAATCAGGATCTTTTTGATATTCAAAATTTCCAAATAAAAACATAATCAGTGGTCTTTTTGGATCGCCCCCCCCCGCCAAAAGTCATTTTATTGCAATAAAATATAAAAATTGCTAGAAAACCTATATTTTGGTTTTTTTTTCTTACAAATATTTTTATCAGGACGCCTCTGAACGAGAGACCATGCGACCAATTAAACCGACTGTAATTTGGCGGTGGAAATTGGACAAATAGGATTCCCTTATTTCAACGGCACAGATAATTCTATAAATAGAATATAGTACTAGACATGTAGTCTTTTATAAAAATAATATTTATCGATAATCAATGTTTTAAAAATAGATTGCATGTATTGAAGCGTCATCGGATGTCATGAAATACCAGGGTTTGTGTGAATCGCTAGGGTTTCATTTTCAACGAAACACTCGAAACTCCAAACAGTGCTTATGTCTGTATTTTAAGTATATACCTGTACGCACTCGCATTTACGCGTAAGTAGCATTGGTATACTGTATAGTGTTACAATATGGATAGAAAATTTTAATGCATTATGAGAGAATATTTTCCAATTAATTTTAGAAGTCAAGAACTGTACATATACTATAATCATATACGTCGATATGGATACTCAACAACATGATCGCCGGTAGGTGAAACGTTCGTGCCTGTGTAGTAGGGCTGTTGCTCGAGGTTGTTCCAAAAAACGAATAAACCACACTTTACACCATACTTGCTAGCTCTTGCATATCCTGGAGTTATTGCGTGATTGAGTGCTTGTGTAAAATTAAACAAGTGGCATGAAATACATGTGTGCACGTGTACATACTTTGGTCTCATTTGAAATAGACCTGTACATAAAAGTACATCTATATAAAATGTACAAAGAATTCAAAACTGTAAGTCAGTATGAAGTAACTATATACATACACAAACACACACACACGCACACACACACACACACACAT